TTGTAGGGCGCAAGGGTAGTCCTAATTTCATAATTATATAATAATATTAATTAGGCCATTGCTAGGCCAGAGGCCTATATCTTAATTATATTTCATTAATTTATATTTTTTCAAATGTAAATTCTTTAAAGTTAAAATGTTTTAAATTAGGCCACGTAAAATAAAACAATTGGTTAGCATCCCCGCCCAACCGTCAGAAAAGCCCCCGACCTGAATTTTTTTTTTTTTTTTTTTTTACAAAACACTCAAAAACTTCATCTCCCGAAGGCAATTTATATAGGCCTAGGCTTGTTTACCATCCGTCCGAACGCCAGCCGACTGGGCTTATCCCTGCAGTTCCATTCCATCATCGTCCCGTCTCTAGGCCTAGTCCTTACTTCTATCTAGAAAAGGCCTAGTTTTATAGTAGTAGTATAAAAAGAGTGTATTTGTATACACGGTACAGCCGATGCAAAGCATTAAGATTTACTCGGGATTAGGTTTATATTAGCAAACTAAACTCCGATCCGATGCTTACGTCTCATGCTTGTGCAGAAAAGCCAAGTTGGCCAATCAGCGCGTTGGTATTTCCATCACTTTGGAAGTAGACATCCACAGCAGCGTGAAAGAGAAAAAACAAAAAAATTTTTTTTTCGCCCTTGATTTGTTAAGATATTTAAAGAGAACATTAACTTTCATTGTTGAATTAGATTTTTGAATGTTATTTTAGAGTTCTTGGCAGTCAGCCATCAAAAATCATTTCAAGAATATCATGAAAAGAAAAGAAAATGTGAGGTAGTAGAAACAGAGGATGACAAATGTCAAAGTTGATTTACCAAAATTATGCGTTAATCAGCAACCTATGGTTTGCAGCGGAGAAATATCTTTGAAAATCCTTTTTTCATTAATTAAACATCATGGAGGGATATCCCGCACTCCAGTTGGTGTCAGAGGTATGTACACTAATCCAAGGTAGGTTTTTGTGTTTAATTTTGTTTTATCATAATAAAGGCCTATTATAAGGCCCCGTAAAAAAAATTTAGTTTATCACCCTATCCCAGCATAAAAACTGATGATGGAGGGAGGTTTTTTTATTTTTCTGCCAACCGTCCAATCAGCGTTCGCTGGTGCATTTGGTTGAGGACAAACACATAAAAAGTCACAAGAACGGACTCAAATTTAAAAAGAAAACATGTTTTTATTGTCAAGTAACACATTTTGCTAAAATACAGTACAGTTTCTAAATATGAAAAGTGAGAATACATAAATACATCTGGCAAGGTAAAGTATATAGAAAATGAAGAAATTATTGACCCTCTTTTTACATCTGCTGTCATTGAAAATGCATAGCTTTGGTAAGTGTATTATTGCAATATGTATTTTGAAAGAATGAATTATGGAAATATACATATATTGAACTTGAATGGATGTGTCTACCTTCTTTGTGGGACCAAATTTTGCAACAACCTGTGAAAAAAATTACAAAGTGTGACAAAAAAACATTTTATATGTTTTGAAGAGCTATAGAACTGATGTAAAAACAAATGAATGTCATGACTGGATGACAAAAACAAACTCCCTAGGTAGGGCTAGGCCCTAGGCCTAGACAGACCTGCTGGGTTAGGCTTAGCCCTACTCTAGACCCCTCTCCCCTCTAGTAAGCCAGGCTAGCATAGGCTTACTTGCTTGATACATTTCGATATTCTTGCTTCTCAAAGGACAATTTCTTAATTATACCTCAACATTTACAAATCTTATTAGGCCTATACCAAACTGATTTTCTTAACATGTGTAGGCCCGTGTGACCGTTTCCAGGCCAGGCTTGGTAGATGGGGCCTAACTAGACCGCTGCCGCACTGCCACTGACCCATTCAAAGACACTAGCCTAGACCTACTAGTTAGGCCTATGACAAGGGTGATTCATGACAAGTACAGTTAGCAATACGTACCGTCGTAAAATCTTCTCTCCTATGTCTCCTCCTTCTCCAATCTCGCCCGATTTGAAAGCATCAAACAATTCATTATAACGGTGGTGTCACTGGGGATATTTTTTGCGAACCAGCCCTTCAAAACATGTATTCCCCTCTTTATTTGCATTACAATTAGGCAGTGTGTGACCAGCGCAAAAAATGACATTCTGCTAGGGGGCAGCAAAAAATTCTGCTAAATCATCCCACACTGTCTATTACACTATATTACACTTCAAAATGCTGATGAGCGGGAGAGAGGTGGGTAGGTAACAATTGACGACTGAAGAAGCAAATAAAAAAAAATAAATAAATCAAAATAAAAAATAAAAAAATCAATTAATTTCAGCTTTTTTTTGTTGTTGTAAATGACCAAATAAATAATGAAGTGAAATGAAATAATATATAAAAAAAAAAATTATTTTTTAAATTTTTAAATTTAAAAAATCAAATAAAAAAATTTATTGTAGGAGTTGATAAGTAAACCACACCGCTGCTACTGCTCCAATCTATTTTAAAAGAAACAATGGGCATTAAAAATAGATCCATGGTCTGACACATTTTGGGACCATGTACTGTAAGTAGGCCTATTTCTTACAGATTTTTTGGATGTGT